CATTATGTTAGCTAAGTTGTGAATTCTTATTTCAAATGTTGCTCATGGGTTAGAGTAATAATATTTACTATCAGTTACATCTAAACTAATTGTTATGCATTAATATGAGCTAGTCGAACCTTGGTTACTGAGTAGTTGTACTCACCCTATTATCTTCAATATTTCAGGGAGTAGCTCAAGAAGTGTGGACAGAGAAAAACAACCCGAGGCTTAGGATCATGATCCATTTGTAATAGGCCTCTTTATTTTGGGTAATTTATGTGTATGACAAATTCGATTGCTAACTAGGATTTTCCTTTTTGTTACTTACTTGCATTAAGATAAAAGTAAATTGTAATGGTATTTTGGACCCTAAGAAGAGAGTTGATTATTATGTGTTATATTAATAGGGCTAAAATACTAATGCAAGTGAGGGTAGTGCATATCATGTGATGATTTGGGAAATTTTGATGAAAATTGTGATAAACTCCCCCTTCCTATGATTTTGAGTTAAGGGATTGAGTAGTGAAAATTTGATCTGGAATTATTTTTTGTGTTTTAGTGCTTTGCATGAGTTAGTTTTGTTGAATTGTATATGGTCATTTGGTGTCGATGGCCATTTGTCCCTAATTTTGGGTTAGGATACTTGAAATTTGTGAAAGTTAAGGTAAAAGAGTAAGTTTTGAAAAGGGTGTTCAATTCTTATTTTAAAAATAATTTGAGCCTGAGACTAATGCCATTAGTTAGAGCCCCAAAAGGGCTTTCTGTAGACTCTTAGTTCGCATCATTCAGATGTTGAACGGAGATTTGGGGCGCGTCAGAAGTTGGCCCTAAGGCTGTCAAATTGACAACAGAACTCACTGTCAAAGTTCGTGCATTTGTGCCGAAGCATATGGCGTCACGAGCCGCGGCACGTGTCACAGAGGCAAACACGCCACGGCATATGTTCAACGAGCTGCAGCGCATGCCTTTTATTTTTTTTTAAAATTTTTCTTATTCTAAATTTTTGCACCTATGTAACCACTTATGTGATAATCCCTTGCTTCCGCCTATTTGCAAACTTTGTTTTGCCTCTTTGCAAGACTTGATTTAACTTTAAATTTATAATCTTCGGGTCCACATTTTGTTAACCAATTAGAATTTTGTATTTAATGATTACTATCGTCTCATTTTCCTAATTACTTGAGATTTTGAGTTTTAATTGTGGGATAAAAATAAGAGGATATTACACATTGGCCATAGTAAATAGTCTCAATATGGTCCGCCACAGCAAACAACCCAAAATTTTATGAAATGAGATTTTTGCCCTCCTTTTTTGCAATGTTTTACAAACAATTGGTATCTTGTATTTCTATATACTCTATAACTTTAATCTAGTCTTATTTTAAATAATGTTTATTTATTTAATAGTGAAAGCTTGAGATCCCATTTGAAAGAAGTTTAAGTATTAGAGGATTTTAATTAACTAGTTAATTTAGGTTTGAAATATGAGATTTGACAGACAATGAATGCAAAAGCTGACAATTTCATCAACAAATTCAAGCAACAATTGAGATTGCAGAGATTGAATTCTTTCCTGTGTTGCAGAGAGATGCTCAAAGCTAACTGAGAGAGATACAGCTAGTGTTCTTTCAAATCCCTCAACTGATAGACTAAGTAAAGGCAGAGAGATGAAGGCACCATTAATATGTGAGGAGGGATGACACGTCATTGAAACGATGGGGGATAATTTGCTCTGAATTTCAAAGTTCAGGGGAGTTTTTACACATTTTAAAAATTTAAGGTCTAGGATGCTGGTGGTGCAATAGTTTAGAGTATATGATTCTCATTAATCCATAAGGAAGGATGACATATCAGTAAGGGACTGTTGCACCAGTATTTGACTGAACCCTACAAAGTCAATAATTAATGGTGGTTATCTATAAGTTAACAGTGGGGGGTAATTTGCTTTAAATTTCAAAGTTAAGGAGAGTTTTTGCATATTTTAGGAGTTTATGGTTCAAAATGCTACTCACGCAATAATTTAAGGTCTGTAAAGCTCATTAACCCAATAGTTTTCATTAGTTTTAGAGTTAATGTCAATTTTTTTAGAAATTAATAGTGACACAAATGGCTTAGAATCATAGTACTTTAAAAAATAAATACTTGTCAAGCTTAGAAGAGTGCTTGTTATTCTTCTATTTTTATATATATATATATATATATATATCATGGGTCGTATGAAAGTAATTTTTAATATAAGTCATATATAATTAATTATTACTAATGTGTGAAATGATAAAATATAATTTAATAATTTTTAAGAATTAATTAGAGAGCCTCAGGTCCATATGACAAGATATAGAAAGTAAATTACGCAACTTAACCCCTTCTCAAAATAAAATTTGCAAAGAAATTTTTAGGCCTGCCAAATGTGATGATAATTGCATATTAAAATAAGACCATGCAAACAAAAAAATGACAAAGAAGAATTAAGAGATAATCAATATATAAATTGAAGAAAAAATAAGTGAAAGGTATGACAAAGAATGTTGAAAATCAGTAGAATGATTTCAACATAATACATATGAGTCAGTAAAAGACTTGCTTCTTTGATGAAGAAATGAAATCTAAAAGCATCAATGCCTTTTTCTACCATAAGAGCCACTTCTTCCTATAATATATAGATATGAAGGGAAATAAATTATTAGTACTCTTTGTTAATGCACTTAAAAAAGAAGAGATCTATACGTAGAATGAATAATATAAAAATTTTAAAATAACATTATATAATAGAGAAAGGCTAGAGGAGATCATTGCATATGTGCATAACTTCATCAAGAAATTTTAACATGCCCTTCACAAGTTGATATTTTATAGCATATATATATATATATATATATATATATATAACATGCACTCACAATAAGATAACAAATCTCATATGTGCACAACTTCTAGTGGGGTCGTCAAAGATTGTATTGTGAATGAGCCAAAGGGCTGGTGTATAATCCCCTCTCGTTCACACAACGCCTTTATATAGTTGTTATCACAATGCCTTATATTTTTCCTAGGTAAGGATGGAGCAGAGTGAGGGGGAGGTTAACATAAAAAGCAATGTGTAAAAATATGGACTTAAAAATTAGGGGGAGTTAAATTAAAGGGTAGTTATTAGAATAAAAAAATCTATTATACTAATGAATTAATTTAATTTAACATAAATATTGTAAAATACAATACATCACAAATTTTGAAATCTAAAAATAAAGATAATGTGATGATATTAAATAAGAGAGATAATGGGATATAGAATTTATTCCTAATTCAAAATTTTGCATTTAAATCTAAATTATAAATTTAAAATTTATAATATTTAAATTAATAGGAATTAAGGGTTAGTTATTAAATTGAGAAAATCTATTACACTAGTTAAATAAATTGGTTTTAAACGTAAATAATTTTAAAATATGATACGGCACAAATTTTGAAAATCAAAAATAAAGAGGCTATGATATTGATGAAAATATGTCATAAGATATGGAAGTTATTCATGATTCAAAAATTTCACATTTAAATCTAAATTCTATAAATTTAAAATTTAAAATATAAAATATTTAAACTAAAGAATTAAGGGGTAGTTATTAATGAAAAAATCTATTATACTAATTAGATAAATTGAGAATATTATGATACTTGAATTTTTTTAATGTTTTTAAAATTTTTGAATATTTTTAAAATTAAAATTTATAAATTGTGAAATTAGTTGAGAAGTTATAGTTGAGATCATGTGAGAGAATATTTTAATTATGATAAAATAATTTGTGTCATTTTTAGAACTTAATGGTGATGTGATTAACCTATAATTGCAGTATTTAAAAAAAATGCCTGTCAAGTTTAAAAGAGTGCTTATTATTCTTATATTATATATAGAGAGAGAAGTCATTTTAATTAATTTTCACTTTTAAAAAATAATCAATGTTGTTGTTAAAAGTTGTCTAATTTTTTACATTTATCATTGTTTAATGAAGTAACTTAATCGTAAATGAATATAAAAATTTCATTTTTCAAAAATTTACTGAGGGCATTTTTTTAAAAAAAAAATTCATTAATCACTCTTAAAAATATACAAAAATATCTTATATTTTCACACATGATAACTCTTAAAAATATCTTATAATTTTGAATGGAGAAGGTAATTATTATCATACAGTTAATCGTCTTGAATCATGCTGGTAATAGAACTTCATTTTATGGAAAACAGAAATCAAACAAGCAAGTAAATGTGTCAACTAGGAACTAGCTCATCAAGTATTTAACGGTACTTTTGAAATCAATATTCTTGACAATGCACCTTTAAATCCTTTAATGCCTGGTTTAGTGTGATGAAAATAAAATTGAAAATGAAATGAATATAAGGTTTAAAAATAAATTTGGTATGTTAATGAGATTTTGGTGTAACTTTTATCAAAGATACATATTCATAATATTAAAAGATCAAAATACCTTTATTCAAACAAAAAATACATGCACACTCATTATTCTCTCTATTCTTGTACTCTAAATTATTATTCTGTCTCTTTGCATTCGCAATAACATTCTAGTTCTAGAGGTCATTGATGGTTGTTGGAAATCACCAGAGACATTTACCAACAACGGGAAGGTTGACAGGAGATGAATGAGAGAGGAAGGGATAAAAAATGAAAAAAGAAAAAAGAAAGATGAAATTAGAAAATTGAACTTTTGTGATGAAAGTCAATTTTGGTAAAATTGAGTTTCGTATGAAATTAAATTCTATGATACCAAACTAACTATTTTTTTAATTCTATTTTCATTTTCAATTCTGAGGTCAACCTTCCAGCATATCAAATAAGGCTTTGAAACGTAAAAATCTTATCCATGATTTGATTTAGTTGCTTCACGGTTAAAAAAGAAATAAATCAAATAATAAGTAATCCATTAAATAATCTACACGTTGCAGGAAAGTTATTAATTGTTAAAACCATATCTTTTTAAGCCTGGTATATATATACGAAAGACGATTTGACAGTGCCATAATTTCATATCCCGTATATACATGATGGTTGTCAGATCCTGAAGGCTCTCTAACTCATAGACGAAGACTAATTTTATTAGCAGCAAGATCAACAAGAAAAGGAACAGACTAATAATAAATTAGAGAAAATTGGACTTGCTGGGAATGGATGATGATATATATTCCCTCTGCCCTTATTTCTTGTGTCTCCAATTGCTTCTGGCACGCATCATCTTCACTCTCAATCCCATCTTCAGAGCTTCCTTCTTCATAAGTGTTGAAAAACCCAGCTAATTTTTCTGACACATTGTAAGCTTCTGCCCAAAGATTCATCTCCACCATAATCGTCATCCCCTTCAAAGATCAAATGAAACAAACATTTTTTTCACCACTAAACCCTAATCCACAGGTGGGTTTAACCGAGTCACACTTAAATGTGTCACCATCTCGCAAGTGCATGGGATGATGGTAATCTGGGTACCTGCAAAGTGTATGTGTTCTTCATTCGAGGGCTGAATTTGACAGGATCTGAGCTGCCAAGATTTAAGACCATTTTCGATTTCATTCATCAACCTGACGTTTCCATTTCCAACCATTTTCCTTCACCCCTTTCTTCATGTTTATATCCAATGTCCATATAAAGTCAAGCCGTTGGGCATTCAGCAACATCTGCTGAACAAAATAGGTCAACCTGCCTCCTGCTCTACCTAACTGGTCAATGATATGTTATGAAAATAGATTTGCGCTGAAATGCCTTTACCAATGACTAGGATTTTATTTGACGTTTTGATCACTGAGTTTAATTACTTCTAGCAGAAGCAGTTTATGTGATTTGTTAAAGGCTAAACCAAATTATAGTCACTGAGTCATTGAAGTCTTCAAACATATTTGCCAATGAGGTACGGTTGCCCCTACATGCTCCCTCATCCCGTTCCATACATGTCATGGCTAATTGGAGTAACTACTTAAAGTCAAATCTACTTTATAAGCAAGAGTCGTAACAAATATTCATGCGAATATGACGGTGAAACCCCACATTTTATTCATGCAATAACACAATTTATGATTTTGGACATATTACCAAGGAAAATCTCACACAATAATTTAAAACTTCAACAATACTCAACTCCCAAAGCACCCAACCCAGGCTATACTTCGGAGCCTCCGTTCACAGCTTATTGGTATTGCCGTCATTTTTGCTTCAGAGCACAAATTACAGCATTCTCCGTTCATGTCGAAGCCTTTCACTCTTTGGGGGCGTGTTAGCAAACCTCCAGCTGAATTGGTCCCAGCTCTCAAAGTGTTGATCACCTGCCACTTCATCAATGGGGACTGCCTCAGAAATTTCTTTGAGGTCCCCATTTGAAAGTTTCACTGCCAAGGCACCCAAATTTTGATCTAGGTTCTTAATCTTTGTTGTTCCTGAAAATTGAAGGTCCAGAAAATTCAAGTAATACAAAAGAGATTGACAAATATTAAGATAACTACACTAAGGGACAAAAAGGAACTTGGCGCAACAACGAATTTGAATATTTGAAATACATTGGGATCCGGACATCCGGTACTGATATGATCGCTGAATAGTTGACATATAATTTCAACGTGATGAAATATAAAAACTATTTTTTCTTTTTCAAACTCGAAGCTTTCAGAGTCATCTAAGCACAATTAGGAATCATGTTTTTTTCAGCAACAATCTTGAGAGAAACCTTTATTGATAAAGTAAATTGTCTTGTCTTACAAAGCCGCAGGAACGCCGACCGACAACAACACATACACGTGCATGCATTGGTTTGTTCAGACAACAAAATAACAAGTCTTAATCGTCCAATTTAGAGTATCAAGTTTAAATAGGAATATAGGCGTTAGGGAGCCAGCCACTCACCAGGGATAGGCACAACGTCATTGCCTTGTTGGAGTACCCATGCTAATGCTAGCTGAGCAGGAGTGCACTGATGCTTCTTAGCAACGTTTCTATTCGATCATATATTTTCTTGTTCTTCTCCAAATTCTCTGACTGTAAGCGGGGATACGAGCTCTAATGTGCGAAACAACGTAACCATCAGACACCCGTGGCTTTTAAATAAAAAATTATTTTGCTCTTTCAATGCTTTAATTTAGCAATAGGGGTAGAACAATGCAATGTTCTTTAAAGACTACCATCGGCTATCTTAATGGACAAAATGGCATATCTAAATAATAAGGATAGTAATTTATAAAAATATTATATTAAAGGAAAAAGAAACACAACTTAAAAATGTTTCAACTAAACTAAGGATTAAAAAGCGAATGCAAAAGATAGGTATATTCTGTACCAGGGAGCTAACTGCAGGAACGGTTTCCACAACACCACGACCACCAAAAAAGCCACAACCAAGAGGGGCATACGGCACTATTCCAATACCAAGCTCTCTACAGAAATAATCCATCGAGAAAGTGAAATCACAATATATACCAAAGTCACTGGTTCGATAGGCAAACATGCAAACGGCAGCAGTGACTATATTTTGGTTGTTAACATTCGCTTTAAGCTATTGTAATGAATTCTTAGGATTGTGAGAGAGTTGTGCTTTCAGAACCTAGACAGAAAGAAGAAAACCAACCTACAGAGCGGAACTATCTCCTCTTCAATGTCGCGAGTCCAAAAGGACCACTCTATTTGTACAGCTGTTATGGGATGAACCGCGTGTGCTCTCCTAATTGTATCAGGACTAGCTTCAGACAACCCAATATATTTAACTTTTCCTTCTTCCACCAGTTTCTTGAGTTCACCTGCCTATAATGCAAGTATGCAACAAACTCATGAGCAATGTGTACTGCTGTAACACGCCATTTTAATACAAAAAAAATTACAGGATATTTTAGAGGAAGAAATCGCTAACCGTGTCCTCTATTGGCACTGACTTGTCCACCCAATGCTGATATAGAGACCAATGTATTCCACATCAAGCCTTTCAAGCTGGCTTCACAACATGAACGCACATATTCTGGCGTACCTTTGATCTGAGTATTAGATGAATTAGCATCTGGGTAACTCTTTTATGGCCTGCTCAACAGTGAAACTTTAAAATTAAACAAATCCGCAGACCGAATTTAGCGCAGGACACGTGCAATGTAAAAAAATAATCATAAAAATTAATTGAAAAACTTACAGTAAGTAATCCGAGCATTAAGCTCGATCAACAGTTTCCATGAGATCATAAGACTGTTCGCTGGTAACGTGGCTTTCCACCCGATTGGCCTCATTCACGGATGTAGAAGCCTCAGTCTTACTCAGTTTAGCCGGGTTAAATGGAGATCCAACCCGCCCCGAACTCCTAACTGGGGGCCTGTCAATGCATCCAGTAACTACATAATGGCCCTCTTGGGCTGCTTCTTTTCCTAGCTTGCCTCGGTCTTTTGTCACCTGGGTTTTGAGTCTTCTTTCCTTCGCAAGCAGTAGCTTGGAACACTATTGGGCCATTGTTTGGGCCCTCAACTTGAAAGAAATGGATCTGTTTATATCCTAGTTTTCCTTTTCCACTGCATCGGTACCTGTGGCCTCTTTCCTTCTGAATATCTCCTTCTGTCCGCCAACTTTTGCCGTACCCTTGTCAGCTTTACGCGAATCAGTCTTAGCAGTAAATCCGTTGCTAGCCCCTACTCGTCTAAGGAACAAGCAACGGGCAAGAAAACGGATGCGCTAACGCGCCCTTAGGACTAGGGCTTTCGCGCTAGCACCTTATCCTGCCCCTATCTAAGTCCGGTGCTTGTTCCTTAGACGAATAAAGTCGTTAGCGAAAGCCCCATGACTCTGTAGAGGGCTAAGAGGACTAAAGCATGGCGTAGGGAGCGGAATACCCGACAAAGAAAACCCTGTTCAAGCTATCTCACCCGGTACGAGACCAGAGGAAACTGAAACGGCAATTGGTAGCCCAAAGGCCAGCCTTAGAATGGGCTTTTGGGGAACTGTGTGGTCGTGGTAGATCTTTTGATAAGCAATAACATGCTTTCTGGAGAACTTCCAAGAACACGAATCTCAAATACGAAAAACATAAGCCGTAAGCATTGATCACGGTCACCTTTCCTACCAAAACTTCGTTGGTATTGGCTCCATAAAAGTCCGACGTATCAAAGAATGTAATCCTTTGACTGAATGCATACTTGATAATGGATATTCCGACCTCTTCAGGGACAGGAGCGTTATAGATTCCAAAAAGGCCCATACAGCCAATCCTAACTTGGAAACCTGAAAAAGAGGGGAGCACGGTTATCCATCATCGACATAGACAGAAAGTAGTAGTATTCATACAAAAGCAAGATTGAACTCTGTACAAGGAATGAGTGAAGCCTTAAGAGAGGAGGCACAGGCAGACGACTTACAAACAGATACTCAAATACATTTTTTAGTGGGATAGCAACAAACGAAGAGAAGAAAAGGCGAAGCAGTTGAAGGGGATAATTGATACCTCAAAGCCTAGGGTTCCAAGATTGACGCGAGGCATGTGAGGCGCGGGCCATTGCAGGGAATGGATTTCAGCAATTCAGTATCGCAATGTGTATGCAGAGGTGATGTGTATGCGGGCAACATGTGGGAGTATATATAGCAGGGCTGGAATCGGTGGTGTTGGGTGAAGGGTTCCATCGTCAATCGGAAAATCGTCACTGAATATGTCAGGCAGAACAGAGCACAGTGGAAATACAATGAACAAATCTATGATGAATGGCATCCGTGGTAGGCTGGTAGCAGCCCACCTTCTCGCAAAATTATTTTTATCAATCAATCAAGCACAGTAATCTCTGAGAGCATGAGAAGCCATCGCTGAAAGTGAAGGAAAGAAGATGACGAAGAGCAATTGCGTTCGTTACCCTGTGCTTTCTTTCGGGTGAATGACATGAACGCTTAAAGGGATGAACTAATTCAAATTAAATCCCAAAACGTTAAAAAAAAAATGTGTGCTCTGTTTACAAATATAAAATATTTTATTAAAATTTATTTTTAATAAAATAATTATTTATTTTTTAATTAATTTTATTTTTTTATATTTATTTTTATTAAATATTCTATAATAAATATAAAATTATTATTAATAGAGATACTTTTGAAAAAAAGGCAATGATTACATACTAAAGAATTAAAAATACTTTATATTTTTTAATATCCAACTCTTCAAAAAATTTTTTTATCTTTTTAACAAAGGGAGTAAATTCATATTTAAAATTTTATAATTTTAAATTTAAATTCTATTTTTAAAATTAACATAATTAAAAAATATTTTATTAATATTTAAACTGTAAAATTATAAAATTAGAAGATGAATTTATAAATTTTTAAAATTTAATACTTTAAATTTATTTTAAATATTTAATCTTCATAGGAACTATTTGTGGTTCACCTTTTCTTTTTCAACTAAAAGACATGTGGCCACATGCTGCCTTTCTTCATGAGACTAAATCAAACCCGGACGTTGCATGGATGATGATTAATTAAGATAAAATCAATAATTTTAGATATAATGTTTGGAATTAGTATCTGGACATTAGACATATGACACAAAAATAGAGAAAGAAATAAAAATTCATTTGAGAAATAATTAAAGTCTTATTAAAATTTATTTGAGTCAAACATCATGCAGCAAAACTAGGGATGTGATTAAAATTTATTTGAGAGAAATAATTAAATTATAACATGAATAATAAGTAGTTTGCCATTACACTTGCATAGGAAGATGAATCTCATGCACAGTAATTTTATTTAAGAGTGTGTTTGATTGAGAGAAGGGGAGGAATTTTAAGGAGGAAAGAAAAAGAGTTTGATGTTACCTATTTAATTCAAGTGGGGAGAAGAAGAAAAATCATTATATGTGAACAATTACCTTTGTTTTTATTAGAGTTGATATGTTGAAAAAGTATATCTACATGTATTGAACTTATCATAGAGGGCATTGGTCAGGTTATGATAAATTTTACCATTCTTCTCCCAATCCCCAATTTGGAGGGGAGGGTTTGGAGGATAAAAATTTTCCCTCCCCCCCTCCCTTCTCCTCCCCTTCAACTAAACACCCTCCTAAAAATATTGTCTCAATGCCCCTAATTAAAAGAAAATGTTTATCTTGGGTGTTATTTAAAAATAACACATACTTGGGTATCATTTAAAAATAATAATTTTATTTTATTAATTATCAAATGAAAAAACTATCTTTAATAACTCTAATTGAAAACTACATTAAAAAATCAAAAATAAACATAAATAAAATTTCTGAAATTTAATTCTCAACTTAATCTTTAAGTATGTTTATATTCTTCTATTCAAATAATTTTCATCAATTTTTTTTCTCTGTACAAGTAAAATAAATTCAAATAGCAAGTATGGAAAAATATTAAAGAGATCACTTAATTTTATAATTCAAGATTTAAGCAGTTAAAATTCAAAAGTTAAAGCTTTGTTAATAAATAAAATGATAATTATTAAACTTAATTAACCTCAAATAATATTAAAAAGCCTAAGTTAAAAGGGTAAAAAATATATAAAATTATAATTTATCAATAAACCAGCTTCTTTGCTAATCAATCATGCCTGTCAAGCTTAGATCATTAATACAGGAGCAGTTATACCTATAAAACTTTTAACAAATCACCACTTAACCTTAATCCCAATTAAAACAACTTAACGGTCATAATTTCTATATCAAAGAAAAAAAATAGGTGAATAAAAGTAAGGATCCTCATCCTGATGAGAATCCAGCTCATCATGGGAGAGGTCATCCCAACCATTCATTTCAGTATAAAATAATCTATGCTTTTTATTTTAAATTGATTTTTAGATATTTTAATATTTTTAAAAAATTATAAAAAAAATTAATATTAAATATATCTTGTCCAAAATATATGTGAATGCTCATCAGGGGAATAAAACACCATGATACTCATCAACTTATAAGATTTTGACTATAAAGATTTAATTTTTTTCTTATTTTTATTTATCAAAATAAGTATTTATATGTGGAAAAAAATAAGAATTTATAAAAAATTATATTTTTTTTAGTAAATTTATTCATCATGAATCAAGATAGTACATATTTAGCCTAGACAATCCAATTTAATATTAAATTTTTTTATAATTTTTACAAATAGACTGTTCAAATATGCTCTAAATAATACATGTTTAATCTAGACAGTCAAATTTAATATTAAAAATTTTTCATTTTTTTGTTTTGGACAATTCATATTTAATATTAATTTTTATATTTTTTATTTCAGTACAAACATATTAAAAATATCTAAAAATCACTTGAAAATGAAGGGCATGGATTATTTCATGCCCAAAATGAAGGCTAGGATGAGCTCTCCTAATGATGAGTTATCAAATGAGGATCTGTAAAAAAAAAAAAAAATTGAAAGAATGATGTTAACTCCTAGAATATTAAATTAAT